GATCCTATACTGGATCTCCTTGTCGATGCTGGCCTTCTTTGAGATATGGCTGCTGAGGTATGGAAAGTGTTCAACAATTCTCCAGCTCCTGTTCATCAATGAGGATATTTGGCAGGGAAGTAGACTGGCCCAGAACAGGCTGGTGAAGCACCTTTGTTTTTTCGATGCAAGGATTAGTCCCAGGCACTGGCATGCTTGAGAGAAGCAATTAAGGGCAATTTTTAGGTCCCCCCCACACATGTACAACGACAGCACAATCATTGGTATGCTGAAGTTCCACAATCAAGGCCAAAGTAACTTTGGTTTTGTTATGGAGGTAGGAGAGATTGAAAAGGTTCCCATCCATCCTGTACTCAATGCCAATTAGATGTAGCAGACAGTCATGGATGAGCATCTGGGCCACAAGAAAGATGGAAAAACAGAATCAATACAATCACGCAGCCCTCCTTGATGCCAGTTTGAATGGCAAAGGGCTCTGTAGTGGAGCCACTGCATAGAATGGAGGCAGTCACCTGGTCATGAAGGAGTTTTAGGATGGTGATAAATTTCTCTGGGCAGCCGATAATATCTTTCATAGGGCCTCATGGTTAACAGATTCGAATGCTTTAGTCCAAACAATAAAGGCCATATACAGTATCTGGTGCTGTTCTTGGCATTTTTCCAGGATCTGCCAGTCCACAAAAATCATGTCCATGAAGCCTCTCAATGGTCTGAAGCCACAATGAGACTCGAGAAGGATTTCCACAGCAAGACGGAGCAGTTGGTTCAGCAGAATTCAAGTAAGCACCTTCCCAGTGATGGAGAAGAGGGTGATACCTTTCATAGTTTCCAGTCAGACTTCTCTCCCTTTTTAACAGTGGTGACAATATTGCCATTCCTTAGGTCAGTGGGAATTCCCTCAGTTGATTTTGAGAAACAGTGTACAGAGCTTGTTGGTCATAGTGTCCCAATCAACTGTGAAGACCTCAACTGGTATACCATCAAGGCCAGACACTTTGTTATTCTTTATCTGTTTGATTGCTTCATGGACTTCTTCAGAGGTTGGTAGACTGGCAAGTGCTTCCCTCACTGGATGCTGAAGGACAGATTTTATGGTTTCATCAGCCACCATGGATTCTCAGTTCAGGGGCTATTGGTAGTGCTCCTTCCAGTGGTTTTTGATGGACTCGTCATCTTTGAGGAGTGTGCTGCCATCTTCAAAACTAAGCGGGATGAGTCCACAAGAGCTTGATCTGTAGACAGCCTTCATTACACTGAAGCAGCTCACATGTCATGATTGTTCACTAAATGTTGGATTTCTTTCCCCTTCTCTTCCTGCCATTTGTTTTTGATTTCTTTAATCTTCCTCTGGGCTTCAGCTTTAAGCCATCAAAAAGATCCCTGCTTGTGACTTGACATAGGATGGTTTTACCAGTCACAAAAAACTTTTCTCTTCTGATTGAGAAAGGCTTTGACCTCAGTACTGTTTTCATCAAGCCAGTCTTAATGGGTGATAAAGCCAATTGATTCTGTGCAAACCTCATGGATGGTCTCCTTTAGAGCTTGCCAATCTTCCTCAACACAAGTATTATCATTGCCAATCCTAAGATTGGTGAGTTTCTTGCTGAGATATGTTCGGAGGGCTTCACAGTGTCTAGAGTCTGAAGGCATTTGATGTTGTACGGTCTTCGGACTGATTTGGGTTGCTTTTAATTCATAACCTTAATGGCCATGATTAATCTAAGTGGTGATTGGTAAAGTAGCCATCAGCTCCTCTCATAACATGTGTGATACGAGTGTCTTTTGGATTACGTGCTCTTACCATGGTGTAGTTGAGATACCATTGTTTCAAGCAAGGGTGTTGCCATGTTGTTTTGTACCTATCACGTTGACTGAAAATAGTGTTAGTAATGACAAGGTCATGCTCTGCACATTTACTCAGTAAGAGGATGCCATTGGAATTGGCCTTGCCCACACCTTCCTTCCCAATGCTGCCCCTCCACACGTTAAAGTCCCAGCCAACTCTCAAATTGAAATCTCCAAGGAGGATGATCTTATCCTGTTTTGGGATTATAGTCAGGATTTCATCAAGGTCAGCATAAAACCATTCTTTCTGTGCTTCCTCATCATTGAATACTGAGGCGTATGCACTGGATGACAGCAGCAAACAAACTGTTGGTCAGTTGGAGGTAGAGATTCATGAGCGCTCGTTAATGCCAACAGGGAATTTGGCCATTCAGCTGATAATCTGGGTCTTAATGGCAAAACCACTGTTGCATATTTGCCTGTCATTTGCAGATTTCCCTTTCTAGAAGAACACATAGCCACCCCTTTCCTCCCTCAAATGGCCTTCACCTGCACATCTGGTCTTGCTGAGAGCAGTGATATCAATGCTGCATCATGAGAGTTCTTGGGTGACAATAGCTGTTCTATGTTCAGGTCTGTCGCTATTCAGTCATCTAGTAGGGTTCATACATTTCAGGATGCAAAGGACATTTTTGTTTTGACCATAATTTGAGTGATCCCCCTAGAAGCCACTATCCAGTCGGATAAGATAAGGTGGAACAGCCTGCTTGTGGCACCTTTTCTAGCATCTTTCCTATGTTGGGTGAGGAGTAGGGATCCTAAAAAGGACTGCTCAGTCACAATCGCAGCTGCTGAATCACCCTTCTGTCCCATTCCAAGGGTGAAGCAACCAACACATGACCGCCGCCTGGGTGTGGATCCATGATTAAGGACTCCCAGCAATCACTTTGTCCCCACTGCTGCTCATCCATCACCACAAGACTTTGTAGAAGTTATGGGTATTGGTAATTGGTTATTATGGTAGATACTGGATCCAGCAGAAGAAGGCCGTGCGTGACTTGTTTGATGTGAGGAGACCATTGAGCATCAGCAACCAAGAGGACAGTGGTTACTCTTCCACTGCAGCCTTCAAAGCCATTGAAAAGTATGCCTTCTTCATCTGCCTGCTCCACCATTGAGGTCTTTGTTAAACTAGTACACATGGATTGTAGAGTTGAATCTAGGCACTCAAATTCAGTACAGTAAACTTCTATGGTAAGATCTTCATTACCAAACAGAACACCAACAGCTAGATGCTTTCTATTTGCAACATCTATAATTTCATTAATGATTGCACAACAAAGGACAGACCTTTAAAATATTAGTCAACTTTTTATTGTAATAATTAGCCGATATTTCTTATATTAGGTGCCCTTTGCTCATGTTGCCTTTGTCTGTAACATGTAGATTTTTAAATACATTCCATAAAAGTCTACAATTTAGAAGTTGGCAAGTCTCTCTTGATCATGAAAAAAAACAAACCTGAGCTTCAGAATTCCTTGTTTTAACGTCAAGAGTTCTCATCAACAAAGTAATCACTGATGGGCCTTATGTGGTCTGAAACAGCCTTCATATTTTGTACACGAAACCTGGTTGTCAGGGCTTGGAGTGCAGATTTTCCAGCTTTATCTATTTTCAGAAACTTAGGACATGCTTTGCAAAGCTAGGCTATAGCTCATTTCTTGACTAGCCAATCCTTAAAAGCAGATTCCTGAAGTGAATTACCACAAGATGTCTGGGAATGTTTCCTTCATTTTCCTCTGAAACTAGGTGGGTTTTGAATTTCAACTGCTTTAACATCACTGTCTGACGTGCCCTATAGACCACAATGACAACACTTTATGCGGTAACCTACCATACTCACATTCTCAGATCCTTCTGCAATGCATGAACCAGTTAGACCACCAATTCAAAGCAGACTGAAAAGGCAGAAAAGTACTGGAGCAAAATGAAACTTTGGGGGAAAAAAACACCTGTAATACTTATTAAATATACATGTATACTTTCAACGAAGGAAATAACCTCAGATATACTGCAATATCTAGATTAAGAGACAAATTACCTGAAAGAGCCCTCTTCCTCCCCCTTGTTCAATAAAAGCTAAAATAGATTTAAAAAACTGAGAAGTGGAAACAATGAGAAGGAGAATATTTTCTTATTTTCCCTTCACCTTAGAAACAAATATCATAAGGCTGTTAAATGCATAGACAGTTTTCAACATTAGTTCAATTGGTTTTACATGTACTACATGCGCAGCACATTTTTAAAATGAAAAGTTGGTAAAATCTCTCTCTCTCCACACACACACACACACACACACACACACACCGCAATTTAAAAAAAATGTATAATTGTTGTCTTATCTTGGAACAGCACTCGGGAATCTTATCCAAAACAAAATAGCAAAGGAAACTATGGATGACTAAGATCAGGCCAGTAGATGGAGAGTTGGGGGGGGGAGGGGGTTAACCTAGAAAAAAATATATTTTAAATTTAAAAAAGTAACCCATTCTTAAATAGTCATCCAAATTCAGTTTTATACCTTGACCACACACTATTTTAAATTAAAAGCAAGAGTTAAGAAAATTAATTCTTAATTAAAAAACTTGTGTACTTAAATAATATGAATTAAATATGCAATAACCACTGGCCAAATTGTCAAGAGCAAGAGAGAACTGCAAGAAAAACATTGCTGGTCTTCTACCAAAAAGGGGGTTTCCTGACACTGTAACAACCTTCTATGGCCAAAAAAAAATCATCATGAACAAAACCTAAACACCCCAATTTTGATCAAGGCAATCTTTCAATTCTTTCCTTTTCTTCCATATCTTTCCTTTCCTTAACCATCATGTCTAAGTATTTTAGGAGCTATAATATTTTATTATCTTAAATACTTAAATATATTTATGTTATACTTCAGCACAGGAAACAGTTAAAGCCACTGCTTGAACACACTATTTCAACTTCAACAATTAATCACTTTGGTTACATTTATATCACAAATGTACTATTTAAAACAAGGAATGTGATACTAATTGCTATAAAGCAGAGATAACTAAATCCGTTTTTCAAACCTTACATATTTCCCATTACAATGTGTGACAGTGGAGGAATTTCTTGTTTGAACCATAAATCTCACTGATTTAATAAATCAGACAACTCATAGACATTCTTACCAGCTGCACTTCTCCAAAAGCACCTCTTCCAATCACTTTAACAACATCATAGTCTTCAGCTTTCATTTGTAAAGCTCGAATTTTTTTCACAATTTTCTCATCTAAAACAAATTAAAAGAATGGTGTCATAAAATACACATACAACAGAGTGCACATGTTTTTGGGAAAAGATGTGGTCAAATAGTTACAACCAGACATTTGAACACAAGCATTAAAACATTCAAAAAGCTTCTGTATTATCTTGATACTGTTTGCTTGGAACTAAAAGCCACTTGTCCATCTCAGTGAAGAGTAGTTTTCCTTATTTTCCAAAGTGAATACTGTTTTGTTTTCAGTTGTATTTCACATAATGCTTTCACAGTAATATAAAATTGACAAGCTTTCAAAAAACTCCAGCCAGAGAGTCAATGGGCCAAATCTGTGATGTCAGACTTTTAATGTACTGCCACCATCCACTAACCTGATAACAGAGGAATGGTGAGGAGGACCTGGTACATTCATTCAGCAGCTTAGCAAGTGCAACCTACTAGCATAAACTTGCACAATTCAATAGTACTTAAGTGGTTAAATAAAAAACTCAGTAAACCTTTTTTTTAAATTACAACTCAAGGCTCATTTATACAGAGATGTTACCTTGGATAAAAAAATTAGTTAATTCTCAAGGTTGCAATCAAATTACACTGCATTAATGTGTATGCAAGTGGTGTACACACCACTTTGTTCTAACTCAGGATACTTTCCTTGATGATTGTGTCCACACAACTCTATATGTTTGAATAAATGGCAAAGCATTCTTTGCATGTAGTCCATAATGCAATATTTCATTGCTCTGCTCTACACACTAATTCTTCTTGAAGTGCATTATGGGATGAGTGTTCAAAGCCAAGAGAATCTGGACTATGACGTGATAAGGCATTAGGGAACAGTCATAACTTATTGACTGTATTGTATTATTGGTTTAAATGTTATTAAAATGTTTAAGTCATGGGCTTTTTAGAGATTGGATTTCTCATTAAACCTTAAAAACTACTCTTGCAAGAAATGAAAAAAAAAAAGGGAGCTATTAAGGCAAATCCTCAAAGCATCTGTTACATGCAATGTCAGTTTTGAAGTTTTACCTGTTCCAGCCTCCCACTCACTTCTAAGAACAAGAACAGAGCCTAGTTTGACCCAATTCAAAACACTCTTGACAAACAAAACATACTAAACTGCATAAAATAATGGTTCCCTGATCAAGAGAGGGAGATGCATCTGGGAACAGATAGGGGCAAGATTGAACAACAGAACCAGGTCAGATGGGAAGAGCTGAAGTAACTTAGACTTTCCAGGGAATCTGTGTGTGACCACCCATTATGGTAAACACAAACAGAATTTCCTTTGGCTTTAAGGTATATGTTTTCTATTAAGTGTTTTTGTCCTGAATAAATGATGTCTTGTTTTAAAGAAAAAAATAGTGATCTCTTTTACTGGCCCAGCAAAAACCCCTCAACTCTCATACATTTCCTGGACCATCACAGATATAAGACCACTCCAACCCCATTACAATATACAGAATTGCTAGTAAGCAGTAATAGAAGTGAAAGCTAGGAGTGCAGAAATGAAAATAAAGCACAAAGAAAAATCATGAAAGATGAGTCACGAGCAAATGAAAAAAAGCTGTCTGGTTGAGTATTGCAGATATAGCTACAGTTAACCTCTCAAGCGGACGAAAGCAGAGGTGACGAACCCATTATCTTCTGAGGACCGCAAAAGAAATGATACTCCAAAGCTGTAAAGAGCATTCAGATCTGCAGGAGCGATGGTAAAAGCGAGAGTGATCTTGGAGACTACTTCCTGGAGATCAACAGGAATTAGGCCAGCATCCAGCAGTATCTATACTACTACTCCACAGTGGAAAAGGCTGCCATTTTAAGGAAGAAAACTACAGATGGAGAAAGACTGAGCTTGGAGGCTCAGCAACCACCTACACCCAAGACAAACTGCATCAATACAAGCAAGAAGAGAGAATAAAGCAGAAGCAGAAGGGGGATGAAAGAGAGAGAGAAAAAAAAGAGGGGGGGTACCAGCACCTAGAGAGAATGCACCAGCATTTCCTGTCTTCAGTAATGGGTAAAGACCCTTTATTATCTGCTTCCTCAGGTGGCAAAGACTCCTTACTGTGGCCTCTCTTTAGGGCTAGGGTTGACTGATACATTTGCAAGTGATGTGCACTGTGAATTAAGTACACCCTGGGGAATCATGCAATTATGCGCCCATGCAAATTTGCACATATCATGCATGATCATGCATAATTTTACATAATTTAACCCAGGCAGGCTCTGTGCCTCCACCTCTGCAGGGCTCCCAGCATTCCAGCTGGAAGCCCCATGTGGAGGTACCGAGTGCAGTGGCACATGATTGGAAAGTTGGTAAGTGGGAGGGAGCTCCTGCCTGAAGTGGGGAAGGGGGCCGGGGATTTGCGGATGGGTGTGGGCCATCGGACTGGGTCGGCCAGCTCTGTGCCTCCACGTGGGGCTTCCAAGCACTCCAGTGGGAAGCCACATGTGGAGGCAAGCAGGAGCCCATCCGGCCCAATGCCTTCATGTGTAGCTTCCCACTGGAGTGCTGGAAGCCCCACATGAAGGCAAGGAGACGGCCCAGCCCGATGGCGTGCAGCTCCTGCCTGCAGTGTCGCAAGCCCCACATGGTGGTATGGAGCCAGCCTGGTCTGGTCCAAAGGCATGTGCCAGCAGGTCAGGCCAGCTCCATGCCACCACGTGCAGCCCCCAGGACTTAGCCAAAACTACACGCCAATGAGGGCTCTGCTTGCCGTAGCCATGAGCACCACAAGGATGCACCACCTACTGTTGCTGAGCCACCAGCAGCAGAGCCTGTGCACCACTGGGGGGGGAGAAGAAACGTGTGGTGGGGTGCTCACATCCACACACAAACCCCACACCAACCCCCACACACCCCACACATTCCCATACTCTCCCACACACCCTCAAAAACCCCACACCTTCACAAAGTCCTCCATACCCCTCATATCCCCCCTTCCACATGCACACCCCACACCCACCCCCAACCATATAAAGTACATGCATACATTTCTAAAGAAGGTTCAAATAGTGTTACTTTTAGTTTAATTTGTAAAAAAATAAAAGTAATTAATTTTGCAAATTTTTTATTTTGTGCATGTAAAATTTTGATTTTTTCTGTGCATAGTTCCCTGTGGTGTAATAAAGGTTGATGTTACAGCGGTCTGGTACCTTATTGGTCTCCATTACCAACAGCAGAAGCTTTAAAACACTTTAATCCATGCGGCTATCTTATCTGAGATACAAAACATAATTGCAGCTGATGCTTGCACCCCAGATGCTTGTATATATTTTACAGCGTATAAATTCAGAACAACTCTCCCCTGCAGGGGAGAGAGGTTAAGTTAATGGGAGACCATTAAAAGGACAAAATTACACTAATTGTCCAAACTGTAGTCCAGTGGATCTCAACATTTTTAGACTCAAAGCACCCCTCAGAAAATGTCAGTGTTCATTTGTTCTTTGCAACAGAACGTTCTGTAGTCAAAGAGCTAAGAAACACACAATGGACCAGAACGTTTTTAACACTACGGCTATTTGAAACCTCTGGGTTTAATCAGGTGAATCACATTTGCACATCTACCAGTGCTAACCTTGCCTGGAATCCCACAACTCCCTTGAAAGGATTTCAAGGCACCTCTGGGTGCCATGGCACACTGGTTGAGAAATACTGCTCCAGTCAAACAACATGTAACAAAATCATATCAAATACTGAAAGGGTGTAACACCAGAGAGTAAAGGTTACAAATGTGAAAACATCTGCACTACCTACAGCTCAGGTTTCTGTACTGACACAGGAGAGATCAGGAATGCTGGCTAGTGGGAGTGTTAGAACATATACCTATGAACTATTTATTGCTTGGAAATTGCATTAAAATCTGGGAAAATCTAGCTTTTTATTATGAAAGAGATGCATGTTTGAATTGGACTCTGACAGCAGACTACAAAAATACACATGAAGGTTAAAGTGCATGGAGTACCTGACAGAAGTCATCCTCTCCTTTTTGCCACAGGTAGGGGGAAGAACTGTTACACTCAAGTTACCTCCTTAGAGTCTTCGCAAAAAAAGAAATCAGAAGTAGGGAGGGCAGGGAGATACTTTTACTCCTGGTGTGGCTATGTAAATTAGGTCACTGCCTGCCTTTATATTTGTACCTTACAGGCCAAATAAATGAGAGATGTGTAGGCTTTCATAAGCAGCAGCTTATAAAGTGAAAATCTCCCCTTGTCTTCTGCGTGACTTCAGACTAAAATGGCTAACTACCTCCCTGCCTTTATACAAGACAACAGCTATGGACAAATATACATCTCAGCCATTTTAAAAAGGGCAAGAGAAGGTGCTGCTTGGGAGCATGCAGCAGTTGTTTCTAACTCAGTGGTTCTCAACCAGGATCCTGCAAGACCCTTTAAGGGGTGCTGCAGTGCAGGCACAGCCAGATTAAGATGTCCCATACACCCTATGTGGAGCCAGATCAGCGGGTGCAGCAAAAACATGCACTTCTACTTGCATTAGGTAAATCGCTTTGAGGCATGTGGGGCAGTTCCTCCTGGCCTCCATGGCAGCAGCACTCCAGATGAGAAGCACTGCGGAAGGTGAGGCAGTACAACTGTGATTCTCAACTGGGATGCCACTAAATTCAGAAGAGTTATGGAGGAGTACCTTGAATCTAAAAAGGTTGGAACTACTGTTTTAACAGTTGCACTCTTGTGAGTCTGTAGCAATACAAGCTAGCTAAGTTGTCCTAACTCTCACCTTGCTTTGTTCAGGGTCAAAGCTGGAGTGGTTTTACTACACTTATATCACTAGAGCAGGGGCATCAAACTCATCAGGCTCAGCAGGTTAAATGACTGGCACAGGGCTGGTCCACAGGATAGATGAGTGGCATCCAGCACACAGGACTGGTCCAATGTGGGCCTTGTGCTCTGCGTGCAGTGAGTTGGGCCAGTCCAGCACATGCAGCATGCAGATCCAGTCTGAAACCCACACATGGCACTGCAGGCCAGATGTTAGGGCAGGGCTCCATGGGCTAGATTCATGTGTGTACCATGCATCTTTGACATCTCTGTACTAGATAATTACACAGATGTTACAATTGTATCAGAATAGCTTGTAGCAGTATCCTCTGCTTAGTCAATGCAATTGTTATGTTTATCTATATCCAATGGAGAGCACTGTCGTAGCTGAGATTCCTATCAGGTGTAGGAAAACTTAAGACAACTGTTCCTGCCACAGCTGCTTAACTACCCCAGACTGAGGAAACTAAGGTAGTTAGAAATACTGCCACCAACATGTACAAGAATGAGAAAACCCTAAAAAAAAATTAAATAACTGCTTAGGAGTTTGTAGAAGGACCAACAATCAAGGAGGAAGGGGATGGTCCATGACAGCCTGAGGTTTGTGAAAATGTGGATGACTTTAAGCAGGATGAGAGACACCACCCCCCCCCCCCCCCACCCCCTCCTCCCGCCTCCCCCTGGGGGGAGGACCCCGGAAACTTCTCATCTCATCTCAACTGGGGAGGAAGACAACTCCATAACCCTCACACGCACAAGAAATAAAAACAGGTAGGAGGGGTGGGAGATGGCTCACTCACTGCCTCCTCTCCCCAAGGAAACTCTTAATGATGCCACTAGGATTTCCTATACCCTGACCTACAGGGTAAAGAAGGAGTTTTGACCTTCCAGAAGGATAAAAGATACTCCTTTGTCAGTGGTTTGGAGTCATTCAAATATTAAAAAGTACCTTGAGAGGAACCTGGCATATTCCAGTTTCTCCATCTGACCAAGGAGGAAACACCTAAGCTAGTCATGGCAGCTCAAAGTTTGATGGGAAAAAAAGGCATCATCTGTGTTTTGTATCAGCCAGATGAGAGATGGGAGTGGAAGGACTAAGTTTCAGTTTTGTACACAATGGTTTTGAGATCACAGAAGTAAAGGGGGTTAATGTCCACATATTCATACATGGGATAGTTTTCAAACAAGTCAGCACTATTCAGTTTTACTGATTAATACACGAATTAGATGACATTTAAAATTATGATAGTAAAAAAAAAAAAGTAGTATAGACTTTCCCAGAATACTGGACTCATAACTCATTTTAATACTCTACATGATTTGTAAGGTTTTTTTTTTCCTCTTACTGTAAACTGCCTTGTTGGGAATATAAATCCATAAATAAATAAATAGTAGACAGTCTTTCCTATGTCCTCCTTGAAAGGGGGAGATGCAAGAAATGATGGAATCGTGGAATATTTGAAGACTACTGTGTTCCCTGTACAAATACTACATGTATCATTATAGACTTATTAATGATTGTATCTCTAGCTAAATAGCTAAGAAAAAATGGTTCCTGACAGATCTAAAAAAAGACAGTGGGAAGTAATGAAAGAAAATCTCCAGCACTGGCACGTTACATACAACAAGTGTTTTGGCATTTCACCTTTTCCCCACTCCCTCCTTTCCCAGTGCTTGGAAGGGGGACAGAGGCAGTAAGTGTGGCCAATGGTCATGAGAAATAAAACTTTAAAGCTTTAAGTCTTTGGCACAGATGCTATTTTGAGCATCCTGGTGAGATAGAAGATTAAATACTGAGCAGATGGAGAGAGTCTCCTAGCTCTGCTCAACTTGGCAGAGGACAGCCAGTGCCTGGAATAACGTATCATAATACATAATGCATGGGGGATTTAATTAAATTTCTCATAATGCTTTCTGGTACAGCTCTTATCCATAGCATTTTCATGTTGGCTGTTGATGGAGCTTCCCTTCAAGGCAATTACACAAGGAGCCATCAAAGCAAACAGCCATATTGGAATGTCTGAATCTGCCAAATTATATTAGATCTTGGCTACCAAAAACAAGCTAGTTCTTCTTGACCACTACAATACATGTGGGATCATAAAACTTACCCTAAGGCCTAGGACACCTGCTTTATCATCCCAGGTACTTCATCACTTACAAAAATACAGTCCCAAGTAGTGAGAATTACAGAGTTCACACTTGTCTTCATGTATATCTGCTGGATCTCCTTTATTCTGACTTAGTACTAGTAAAGTTCAAGTGTGTCCCCTCTTCTTCATTAGCTTTAGCAAGTTCTCGTAGATTACTGCATTAGTGACTTCTCCAGAGGGAGATTGGTTTTCTTGTCTAGAAAGCTATAAGTCAATCCAGGAGCTCTACAGAGAGCTATGAAAGAGGCCTTGCACACGATGACAGACAGGGATGCCATAACATGCAACTGAAGGTGTATGAACACATTACTACCTGGTATCAAAAAAGAGCTAGCATTTAACCAGACAGTGAACATCTAGGCAAGGATGAATGAGGAGCAAGCAATGGAAGGCACACCAGACAGCCTGAGATGGGTATGAATCAATGCAGTGTAGTACAGCAGCTCAAAGACTGCTGTATAGTAATTATGAACACATCCATATCAACCCTAAAGCAATAAATGCATTGCAAAAATTAGTCACTCCTGTTCCAAGGAGAATTACTTACCGCAACTTAAAGAAGCCAAATAAGTCACTTTAAAAAAAGAGTGTGTGGATGCAAGTTACAGTTAATCCAATGCAATGGACATAGGCACAGAAGTGCTCAGTAAACTCCAGAATTATGTTCACAATGAACTTTTGGGAAAAATTCTTTAATGTGGACAAGACCTCAAAGATGCATACTGAACAGAGCTTGTAGCCAAACTACGGGGCTTTGAAAACTTTTTGAATATGGTAGGAGGACTCTTGGCATAACCAAAAAGATAAATATAGTAAGATTTCATAATAATATGTCACTTCATATACTGGCATTCTATTTACTACATAATACAATAAAACCTCAGTAATAACAACTGAGAGATATGTAGGGGAAAAAAAGTGTTAGATGGCACTTACAAATATTTTGTTAATACAGGTTTCCCTTGCCAACCACGGCTTTGCCAACCATGGTTTTGAGAATCCACACTTAATAGTCCTTATAGCATTTTGGCTACCACGGTATACAGTTCTGAGTAACCATGGTTTTCTGTGGCTGTGCACCACCTGACACCTGCTATTTTCCCCCATAAGCCTTTTGTCTTGCCAACCACGGTTTTGCTAACCACAGGAACTTTCAGGAACCTAACCCCAGCAGTTGGTGAGGGAAAGCTGTATACTAAAGTTTTAGCAACAAAACAGCATAAGAGCAATCGGATATTAAGCCTGTACTGAGAAGATTTTTTATGTACAGTATACAGCTCAGGGTGATGGCAAAGTGTAAATGAGTAATATATTGTATTTCTGGTCATTTAGCTTCAAAGGCTGTTTTACTAAAGTCATATCAGCATCAGAGATGTTTAAAAGCAACTTACATCTATTTAAGAAATTATCTATGTTCTTGTTTTTCCTCAGTGCTGGATAATCCAGATCAAGAACCAATGAATTCAGGCCATCCTGTAAAATAAATAAATAAATAAATAAATAAATAAATAAATAAAAATTCATTATAATCACGCATCTGGAACTTCCAAAATTAAAAGCTATCCAAATTACTGTAATAGCTGAAGTTCTATACAACTCAAGCACAGACTACAAACCTATCATGCAAATCAAATTACCTGGAGGGACTTATTGCCACAGGATGCTATAGAAGAGAATATAACTAGATTAAAAAAGTAATTAGGCATACTTCTAGAGGATACACTCATCAAGGACCAAACCTAACAGTCAGTATGAACTCCCAGCTCAGTAGTTCCCTAAACTTATGACTGCTGGTAACTGAAAAGGTATGGCAAGATACAGAAACTTGAGCAGTCTACTCCTACCCTATTTCTAAAATCCACTGCTTTACAGTATAAGCCTGTGGTCCATGGACCCCTAGGTCTAGGGTGTTCGTGAAAGATGACTCTGATCAATAAGACGTATGTGAATAGACCACAGTTACAATTCAGAGTGGTCTACACCTCCATTAGAAAATTTTTAGGGGTGCACAAACAAAAAAAGGTTGAAAACCATTGCTCTAAAGAATATGCAACTTGCCAAGGTCACAGATTGGATACAGGGCTGGATGGATCCTTGGTCTCACCCAGTATGTCATTTCTTAAATTACACCCTGGGGAATTATGCAATTATGTGCCCGCACAATTTTGTGCATAAAAGGCATGAATGCGCATAATTGCATAATTCAGCATAATTTAACTGCAGCAAGTTCTGTGCTTCCACCTCCATGACGAGGAGCTGCGCGACTAGACAGCTAGGTAAGTGGGGAGGGGAGCTCCTGCCTGCAGCATCCTCCCAGTGCCCCCAGTGCCCACTCTGAGCCAACCCCCAACAAGAAGAGACCCAAGCAGCCCTAGCTGCAACCCACCCCACACAGATCTGGGGTGCACATGCCCCCCCCCGCCCTCCTGGGGTGCAAACAGCAGCAGGAGCTGCTTCCCCCACGAGCTGTGCCGCCCCCCCCTGCCCTGCCTAGGCAGCCCCTGCCCCCTCCATAACTGCGGGGGGCATTGATCTGCCCAGCCCCCACACCTCTTCCCTCCCCCCTCCCCTTCCACCACACCAGACTTACCAGCTGGAGGCAGCTGTGTCAGAAATTGGATTGGTATTGGCCAATATGCCTCCTTAAATAATAGGCTAATCAATATCAGCCCTAAAAAGCTCCATCAGTGCAACCCTAGTCAGTAGGTATGGGCTGTGCGCCATCAGGCCAGGCCAGCCAACCAGCTCAGTGCCTCCACCTGGGGCTGCCAGCACTTTACCAGTAAGCCACATGTGGAGGCCAGCAGAAGCCTGCCCAGCCTTATGGCATGAGACACCATGCCTCCATGTGCAGCTTCTCACTGGAGTGCTGGAAGCCCTACATGCATCTGGGAGCTGCGCAACATTGGGCCAGGTGGGAAGCCACACATGGAGGCATAAAGTTGTGTGCCATCAGGCCAGGCAGGCTTCTGCTTGCCTCCACATGCAGCTTCCCACTAGAGTGCTAGAAGCCCCATGTGGAAGCATGAAGCCCACCCGGCCTGATGATGCATGGCTTCTGGTCCACAAGCCATAGGGCTGAGCCAGCTGGCTCTGTGCCTCCACATGGGGATTCTAGTACTCCAGCAGGAAGCCGTACATGGAGGCACGAAGCCTACCTGGCCCAATGCCATGCAGCTCTGACCTGCAGTGCCACAAGCCCCACAGACAGGCATGAAGCCAGCCTGGTCTGGTCTGAAAGTGTGTGCCAGCAAACTGGTCCAGTTCCATGCCAGGATGTGCAGGCCCTGGGAATCAGCCAGAGACATGCACCACCAGGGGCTCTGCCTGCTCCAGCCATGAGCACCCTAAGGACCCGCTGCTGCTGAGCCACCAGCAGCGGGGGAAGTGCACCATAGGAGAGTAGTTGGGGGGCCCCCCCACCTTTACAATCCCCCCCATACATATACCCCACCCCCCAACAATACAAAGGTACTTGCATTTATTTCTAAAGTAGGCTTAAATAGTGTTATATTTAGTTTAATTTGTAACACAAAATTTTAAAAAGTAATTAATTTTGCATAATTTTGAGTTCTGCACCCAGCCCGCATGCTTTGCTCCCACACTCATGCGCGGGAGGGCCCTGGCCCTGGCCAGCACACACCGCTTCTGGGCAGGGCCACTGCTGCAATTGCTGGGGTACTTGTTCATTTTGTCCAGCCCCCAGCAGCTCCTCATTGACTCCAGGTAGCAGGTAGGGAAGCTGCAGCTGGGCAGGAATGCAGAGTGTGTGGCTGGGGGTGGGGGGAGCGGCAGGAGCATACAGCTCAGGTGAGCAGGGTGCGAGTGCGTGAGGGAGGGAGGGGGGATGTGGGAACTCACACACACACACACACACACACACACACCCCTCCCATAGGGGACAGCCCCCACTGCCAGCAGTAGCAGGCAGCTGGCCCCAAGGGTGCTCATGGCCCACATAGGTGCAGTTGACTGGTGGCATGTGGCTCCAGCCAGTTCCGGGAGCTGCACATGGTGGCAAGGAGCAGAGCCAGGCCAGCTGCTTCTATTGTGTGGGGCTCACATGCAGCTTCCGGCTCTTGCGCACCACCAAGCGATGGAGCTGGCTGCCTGGCCCTGCTCCCTGCCACCACACCTAAGTCCCAGGACTTCACCAGGAAGCAGCCCTGCATTTCTGACAGAGTACTGGTGGTGTGCGAGTATTGGAAGTTGCATGTGAGCCCTGTGTAATACAGGCAAGCTGGCCTGGCTCAGTTTCCTTGCCACCATGCACAGATACTGGAATTGGCTGGAGCTGTGCGCCACCAGGCAGCTGCACTTGTGTGGGCCACAAGTACCCTGAAGGACTGCTGCCTGCTGCTGCTGCTGCCAGATGTGAGGGCTGTGCGCCATGGGAGGGTATGTGGGGGGGTCCCTACTCCCCCACCCTCCTTCACACCCCACACTCCCATCCTGCCCACACCCCCCCAAGATACACAGCTACATCCCCCAACATACCCTACATCCCCACACAGCCATACAACCTCACATCCCACACACGCCCCCGACAGTACACCATACACACAACCCACACCCCACATACTCCCCTCCACACAAAATTACAAGAGTAAGAATTTATTTTTGAGCCATTATGCAAACACACTAGGCAAGCACACATAAATCAGAACAAAAATATTCTTTTAAATAAAATCAAAATATGTTATAGTGGATACTTGAATTTTAATACATGATTGTGTTTTTTCTAGCTCAAGCTGGCAGCCCACCCTCCCAAAAGGAGTACTACTGTGGACAAGGGGAAGAACTTCCAGTGGCAAAGGTCAGGGGCTAGGAGGCGGGACTTCTGGTCCCAATATGGTGACTAAAGGGCAGGGCTACCCTTGTGGCCCTCGACAGCTCACCAAAACTCATTAAGCAGCCCTCCAGCCAAAATAAATCCCCGACCCCTGACCTAGAGAATCAGATCACCCAAATCTCCATCCATAACAGGAGGTG